ATCTGGTGAGATCGACCAACAAATCTCTTCTTCATGCACTTTCATACGAAATGAAGGTCCCTCTAACAATTTGACTAAGCGTTGGTAAGATCGGAGATTAGTCATGACAAGGCAGTGCGAGATACAGCATTCGAGACGAGCGGCAGCCTGCATCCCTTATTGTTTTTCACTATTCGCTTAAATAAGCCGCGAATAAATTACTACAAACAGTGTTTTTAGAGGTGGCGCGTTTAAACCAACGTTTAAGTTAATTCAAACAAACGATCAATAGATTAGGAGTGATACGTTGTGGTCTTTTTTATGGATGCAGCTCTCTTTGATTCCAAAGGCTTAGTCCAAACTCGGTTCTGCAACTTGCCCGAACTTAAAATAACGTATCGGAAACCTTCCCGAACATTCTGTTTGCATAGTAATTGTGGACAGCCAGAAAGTGACAACATCCAATAGTGTTCCGATGCTCTAGGCGGCAATAGGCGCGTGAATGAGCGCGTTATATGAAGGTTTTCCTCTTTTTTGATAAAACTAAAATTAAGCCCAAGTAGAGGGACTACCTTAAAGGTTGTTAGGGGAACCTTCATCTCGGATGAAAGTGGATGAAGAAGAAATTCGTTGGTGGATCTCACCAGATGAGGACGGATGAATCTCGTTGTACTGCAGCCGGTTGGCTTTTACACTATGTTCATGTTGACGCAGTCCACGAGACTTCCTCCCTCGTTTCAGCTGAAAACGTGCTGAGATTTCGTCCATCATATGATGGACATCATCAGAGTTGGGTTTCATTCTTGTCAAAGAATCACATTAACACTAAAGCAAGAACACTATCCGGCTCTATCTTACTGCTTATATAGACTCAATCGAGCCAAAAAATTAGAAATTAAAAACCTAGATAGATCGATATAGAGTGGTTTGGTTAATTTGCTTTCATACCGGTCCTGTTATTTTTGCTCGATTGTATGAGTATGTGTATCTGTGTGTGTGTGTAAGCGTCTATATGCAATACGCTTCCTAAATCAAAGTTGTCAAAATGGTAAATCTCAGGTTCTGATCCTCGAGACCTAATGACCCAAGAGAAATCCTTGACTGAGACTGAGTAGTTCCGTAAAGAAGTATGGTTTTGATGTTAAAATATCAGCTTGTAAGCATGAAAATCACGTTTGCAACCACTTGTCCTTTCAGTCAAGGGTCATTAACGTTTAACCCTCCAAGGAAAGGCAAAAATAGCAGGACCAGTATGAAAGAAAATTAATCAAACCACTCTATATCGATCTATTTTATTTTTTGGCTCGATTGAGTCTATATAAGAAGTAAGATAGAGCCGGATAGTGTTCTTGGCCTAGTGCTAACGTAAGAATGACACCCAGCTCTGATGATGTCCATCACCCATGTCCTAATTTTACCGGCATGCTTTCTCCCAAAAAAGATAGGCGAATTAGTAAAGAAGTGGGGCACAAGAACAGTGATCAAAGAAACCTTCACACAAGCTTCTGTTATGCCATCTTTTAGAGAGAAATATAACCCCTTATCGAGATCCAGCTGCTACAAGATTGTTTGCTCATGTGGTCAGACATGCCGACCTATTCGACAAAGATTGGTAGAACACTAAAATGTTTGCAAAGGTAGCTGGATCCAACGGTTAGAAGCGGCTGAACGCATGGTAGAAACTGGACATGAAATAAAATAACCTCAAACTAGTATGTTTGCTGATTACGGTACGTCTGTGATTAAAAGAAAGATAAGAGAGGCTACTGAAATTGATCGCTTAGAAAATACAATGAATGTGAGGAACGGTTGTAGAAAGTTGAGTAGGAACTACTTATGCTTGATTGATAGATTGTAAGAAAGAGAGGATGTTGAGCCGCCGTCAAAAAGAAGGTGACTCAATTTGTCTGCTCGGTGATGGTTCCAATTTCACTCACATTCTCCCAAAATGATAGAGTAAACTCACAAACCAAACCAGACATGTCAGATTACGCATCCCCAGTCTTGCCTTTCCTTGGAGGGTTAAACGCTATCAACCCTTGACTTAAAGGTTAGGACAAGTGGTTTCGTAACTTGATTTTCATGCTTACAAGCTCATATTTCATTATCTCAACCATACTTGTTTACGGACCTACGCAGTCCCGTTCAAAGATGTTCTCTTGGGTCATTAGGTCTTGAGGATCAGAACCTGAGATTTGACCTTTGACAACTCTGATTTAGGAACCGTATTGCATATAGACGCTAACACGCACAAATAACCATACTCATATAATCAAGGTTTTTAATTTTTAATTTTTGGCACGATTGAGTCTATATAAGAAGTAAGATAGAGCCATATATTGTTCTTGCTTTAGTGTTAACGTGAAACTTTTAC